TCCTAGCCAGTGCGAGGGCCTTCCATAACGACGGTCACTGTGACCGCCTCAGGAAGAGGATCTGCTGCCATCCCGGCAATGAGAGTACGCATCTCTTGGACAAAGTCCACCGATTCCTTGTTGCCCTATCGGGTGGCAAGGAAGCGCGATCGTACGCGATATGTCTGATTAGGCGGCGAGAACACTCGTGAGAGCTGCAACTTCAGCTTCGCCCAGGAGGGAAACGCAGCTTTGACCGAAGTGCCGCACGTTAGTGCCCATTCTTGCGCTCGACAACGGAGCCTTGAACTGGCTAGCACCACGCGCTGTTGCACGGTCTGGAGCATGGCGGATGCGATGGCCATCTCGACCTCTCTCATCAAAAGCAGGAGATTCTCTCCATCCTTCCCCTTGAAGAACTGAACGCTCACCATGAGCGGCTTCGGGCGGGGAAAATCATCCGTCACTGACGGTGGTATCATCGACGCAATGATGCAGACATATTCTGCTGCAGGTGCTCTTGCAGCGCGTTCTTGTAATTTGAAAACGCCTCTAGGTGCGCACCGACTGCCTCGGGGCCTTGCGCAGCAAGGTGTTGCACGCCCTCAGGGCCATGCAAGGACATCAGCTTTTTAAGCCCGTCCTGCATGCCCTGGGACAAAAAGGAATAATGCACCATCCTCACCGAGGATCAGCCATAACGACTCGGGTATAGATTGACTACAAGTGCTACTAAGTGCAGCGGGGCTGCCGTAGCTTTGCGCTTAGAATAAGCGTAAGTTAGGTAACCGACCTTTCGTTCTATACTAAGAACAAGTACGAGTTTAGCGGATCGCAATCCGCTTACTCCAAGAGTAATTACAACCTGAACCCAAGGCTAATTAACTCTTCCGTTTAAATTCAAAAACTGACTTTATTTATTTAAGTCTGCGGCAAAACCGCCTAATTTTAAATGCATAGATTTTTTTAAATTTGTATAGTAAAGTCAAAATACATGTATAACTACTGGCTATCCAGCCCCGTACCGTATTCTTGATTGGGTTTGGTCACACCATGCCCATCTGGTGTGACACCCACACCTGTTACCAGGGTATGTATAACCCCGTTACATTTAGATTACACCACTGCTGAAGATAGGAACGGGTGACTGTATGTTGTGGCCCCCGCAGTTAATCTCTGGTGGAGCGAAGAGGCAGTTGTGTGCTGGCGTCTTCTGTACCAGGGCTGAGAAATGGTGATAGCTACTGGTGTCGCAGTCTTCCGTGTCAGAGCCGGGAGGGGTGAATAGCGATTGTAAATTGCGGGTAGACAGCCAAAACCTAAAGGCAAGACGAGTATTCTGAGTCATAATTTCAGTGTGAGGTGCACAGCGTGCGAATCACTCAAGCTCTGACAAATATTAGTTTCAGCTCTCGCGATTTTGCCGGCCCACAAACCATTAAGCAAAAATGAGCCACACCTCATTCATCGATAAGTGACGACAAATGACAATCTATTTGCTATTGGATCCCGTGGAGTGTCCTGGTTATGGCGGCATGTGACACTCTCCAAGCGTCCTGACGTGCGTCCGATACCGCCACGAGTTATCTTTTGAATGCGCTCTTTTAGCTGCGCGATAAAATCAATTGGCTCGAGTCGCCCCAAGAGGCTCAGAGCCGTATCACTGTTTTAGAGCAGAAATCTACTCGTATTCAAGGGGCGATTGAGATGCTGCTCCTTTTTCAACAAGTGCCCCACATCGAGAGGCTTGATAAGCATTAGAGCGTGGCATGACATCAAAAGGCTATGTAAACTCAGATATTTCTGCTTTCTTTTCAAGAGGAAGATGATAAAACTACTTTCGTTACGACCGTGGATGGTCCGATGTAGTGTGGATGCAATTTAGACTTACAGCCGGAAGACACCAAACGTGTTGGGTTAAGTGACTTCATCCAATAACGCTAACTTACCCACGTATGTTCCGACTGCCGCTAGCTCTGTATGTTGCTTTTGCGCATCTTCGCCTCAGATGTAACGTCTCAGGCTCGGCGTATAATGCTCAATCTCGACTATATCCAATCCTTGATTTTGCTACGAAGTCAAGTCAAGCTAACCTCAGCAAATCGCTGCTGTAGTGTCAAAGATACACAATGATGACTGAACTATTGAAAACTGTAGTGTTAAGCCTGTAGAGAAGTGAACTGTTTTTTTTCAACCATGAATGTGGCCGATCAATGCAACACAGCGGTCTCCCCATACACAACTGCTTTGGTATATAAATCACTACACGATAGAAGCACTCATCTGATCATCTGTCTGTAGATGAATAGCATGCGATATGTCCAATCTAGAGTCAAAACCTTAAATCTGTTTGTCAAAATTCTGTCGTAAATCACGCTGATCTAGCCCATGGCCACCGACAAGTTGCGTACTGAAAAAATTGTCGAGAAACAATTTGGATGTATTCTCGCCGGAAACACAACAGTGGATGGGTCTTCCTGCTTAGATGACTAACGAATTAAAAATGCTAATCACCTCTAGTCCAGGACTACTAGAACCTGCGGTTATTAAGAGATGCGTCTGAATACGGCGAGTGTCAACCCATTAACTCGTCTGCACGTACGCACATAAGTGCTTTCTCAATTATACACGTTAGGGCACCAGTGCAAAGCGCTCGCCAAAGCATATATATTCTGTCCTCCGGGGCGACCAGATCGTGTGCCTTGCATGGTAGTCTATATTTGAGCTACATATCGTCATTTTGACAAGCGTTAATTTAAGTGAGTCAAATATGTAATACAGCAAACCTTAAGATGAAAATTGCAATCCAGACTTGCAACTGAACCGTCTATATAAGCAACATCTGACTTCCTAAATCCTAGCGAGTCAAATGTTTCAGCAACGAATACGTGTTGCTTCCGACTTGTACCATGTACATGTTGATTTATCAATGCATGACGGCGTCATCGTATTTCATAATCTAAGCGACACGAAAAAAACACCCGCCATCACAGTAAGTTGTCCCCGCTCATAGCTTACTTCCAGGGGATAAATCGACAAGGAGGATGACTATCGTGCTATTCGCTGCGAGAGATAATGTGACAACATTATAATACCTGATGAAGAACACTTAGTGTATAACGATCTACTCAAAACCAAGCAGGTACTCTCTAAACTTGACAAGATCATTTTATATGTAGCTTCAAGTTCAAGCGACAAAGATCCACGGTGCCGTCTTAAGTATGATGAAGCTATACCATGATGATGCATTCACCATCGGCTCAACGCCAATCACCCCTATAAGATCAGCTCCTCCATCTGGTGACTTCATTGCATATTTTTTATGCACCCTCTCGATACAAACGGGACTTTTGCCGAAGGTAAAGCTATACCCCGTAGGGCAACCCTGGTAAATTCACCAGCAAATAAGCACCGTTTTGCCACTAACCTGTGGAGCCTAGCCGCTTGAAAAGGTGGATGTGTTACTCGGTAGTGCTGACTGAGAGCAGCGTGACATCGCGACCAGGATGTACCGTTCATAGTAACGTTAGGTATCAGTCCTTCGAGTTTACACGTGAGTTCGGGCCATGACATCGAAGAACGTGATACACAGGCTCTCATCACCAACATAAAAAATTCCAGTTCTCAGCCGTAGCCAAACCTCCAGCCTTTGCTTATCTTCCCATTTGTAGTAGCACGAGGGACCACGACATAATGTCGCGCATTCCTGCATTAAGATATGTAGTCTGTGACCGCGGTAAACTATCCTTATTCTCTGCCTTATAGTCGGGAAAAGTGCGCTACTCCTTATTATTTTGGCGCTCAGCCGATACATGGATTACGGTTCGCCAAGTATTACACCCTTGTGACCACCAATAGACATTAGCTTACCCGGTGTGTCGAGTTGTCCTGGGTACCAAATAAAAATAGAAACTCGTGCACCATTCGCAAAGAGGATACAGTCTTTGCACAACTAGGCCGTTGGATTGGTGGTGAGAGCTACCAAGTGCACGGAATTGTCGTGTTTCTTGCACAGAGAAAGCTTTGTTTGAAAGAGTTCTCACACAGGGACTGAGTTTGTACCCTTCACCCACGGGCAGAGGTGAGAGCCTCTTCAGGCAAGGCTGCTCGTCTGTTGCAAAGAAAAAAAGTAAAATGCTATTCAATAATTGATACTAAAATGTATGTTATACTATGAACATCGATGAATCTACATGTATTGCATATTATATCATGTGTCGCGCAGACCTCTCTCTCCCGGTGTCTCACCGTCTTCATGATTGCCAAATTATTGGTACCCCTGGCCATTGCACATAAAAGTTATATGTACGTGAATCATGATTCGATGGTCAGCCTCGCTAAAATCCTCATGGAAGTTTGAGATCATACTTCGGCAAACTTGTGTTGTGGCCGGAGGCCCGACTACGTAGACGTCTAACGATCGAGTGATCGCGTCTTTTGCCTCAGTAGCGGGATCCGCCGAGCGGAAGCCGTAATCCCCCACGAGGGTCTAAGACCAAACGTGAACACGAGCACAGGAGAGCCGCCCTGTGAGCATCCTCCAGATTGCCTTGGTACCGCTCTTTGGCGCACCCTCTAACTTAGTCTCTCCAGAAGACAAGCCCGTTTTACAGCTTTACTTTCCAGCTTTCGAAGTGCAAAGTACGACGTCGATGACAAGGTAGATGCTTACCACATTTGAGGTGTTCTTGGACCCGCTAGTATGAAAAAAGGCTAATCCTAGCACTCATAGCAAGATGAAGATCCACTCATTTGTGGAAACTGCGGTGGGCAACCCTGTCGAGACGACGAATTTTCCTTACTCAGTTTATAAATTGAGTAAGAAAAGTTGTGAATTTCGGCCAGCGCCCAGTATCAAACGCACAGTGGCATGAATCCATCCTGACCGCTATTGTTTTATGGCAGACGGTGCTACTGGGATGTGGCGGCCAAAGCATCAGAAATCCTCCGTGGATCGACTTCGCGCGCTTGTTTTATTTTCTGAATGAGCGGACAACAATTTTTGATGACTTGAATTCATTCTCACGATCTGATGCTGATAGCGAGTTCTAAGATGTTTTTTGCGCTTGCAGACAGGCTGGCTCGACTCGCTGATCCAGAACTAGCTCATTGCTAATAATCTATGTGTCATTGTGAATTCCATGACGGGGTGTCGTAATAGGGAACAGGCATGTCGTTTTCAACTCGAGGAGAGGTGCAGCGCTCATTAAGCTGCTCATATCCTGGAGAGGTCCCCGGAAACAAGAGCGGCTTTGCTATACCTCCTAATGTTGTCATATCGAGACCCAGAGAGTCAAAGTGACTTTCCTAATCGGACAACACTTCGACTGTCCTTCGAATATAGCGTGATGGTCGTCAGTCGCGAGGGCTGCGCCATTCCCAGTAGCTCTTGAAATCAAGCGGCCGAGAAAAGGAAAAAAATCCTACGCGAATTATACCCGGAGGAGCAGAAACTGCTGAATGTATGATGCGATACGAATTCTACCGCCGGCCTTCTTTTAATCTGTTTGGCGCTAAAGCGGGTGCTAAAAATTGATATCCAGACATTATTAAATTAACGCTAATACTGCTTTTCTTTTACTAGGATATTGAGCTATTGAATGATTGCGAATCTTTTGTCTCTCTGCAGCGCTTCATGGAGGCGTCACTGATCAAAATTCCTGACAAGGCACTTGTTCGATTCGCTGCAACCAAACAGATCCAATGTCGGTAGTCTTTATTGAACTTTTACAAGAAGTTGGACTCCCAATCGATAAAGATAATATTAAGATATCAACTAAATCACATTCTACTTAACGTCTTTACAAGATTGAACTTTTCTCAACTCCATTATGGCCGTGGAACACATGCAGAGCTCAATATGGCACATTGTACTCACTGCTGTCTCACTTGGCATTGTTCATGTGCTTTCGGGTACGTCGAATTCTTTTCTAACCACAAATCTATTATCTCGAATGTGCCTATATCTACACTAGGGCCGGACCATCTTGGTGCTTTAGTAGCGCTCTCAAATGGGAAATCGTGGCGTCAGGCGTTTTTACTTGGTGCGCAATGGGGATGTGGTCATTCAATTGGGATTGTGGCTGTTGTCATCCTGTGTATATTCATAACTGGTCAAATTTGGGCACCGAATAGAGCGTTCAGTACTCTGTTGAAATACGTGACTGGTATTTCTCTCGTACTCCTTGGAATCTGGACATTTTACCGTGCAACGAAAGAGTACAAGGAGACACCTGAATCAAGAGAAATGACACCTCTTCCAAAGTCACACTCGAATCAAATACCGTGTCATGATGCATCGTATATTCTATTGCAGTCAGTTGACGATTCAATGGGAAAAACACAATTTACTGCATCAGCTGCTAGCATTGGAGCAGGTATTGTCCATGGTATTGCAGGACCAGGCTCTCTATTGGCAGTAATCCCGACGCTTGCAATGCATCAAGATACTTTTCGGGCTCTGTTGTATCTTGTCTGCTTTTGTGCAAGTTCCATTGTGGCTATGGGATCATTTGCTGCACTATATGGAGAGTTAACTCAACGTGGCGGTAGATCTCAATCGCCAAGTGCTGCATATTATATTGGTGTCATATCATCAGCATTGTCGATATGTGTAGGAATTGTATGGATCATTTGGTAAATTGAATCAAGTATATGATAAAGTATCTTGTACTCCATTAGTAGAGAACGGATGTAGTTTTTTGATGTAGGAAATTGAGATAGCACATGAAATACAGAAGTGAAGCTTCACTTTTTGTCCTTCTTTTTGTTCTTCTTTCGCTCTGGTGGATACTTAAACTCTGGTCGAACAGAGGGTGGAAACAATGCAAGGACATCGGCAATAATATTACACCTGCATATAAGATACATATCAGCTCATGCAGTAAATCAAATAGTAAGTTGTACTACTTACTTGATTGCTCTCTTTCGAACTTTGTTAATTTTTGCCATCACCAAACGTAGCAAATACAATACTTTTTCAAGATGCACACATTCCCCACGGGTGATTGTAGTAGACTGAACCAATTCACATACCATGTGAAAATTCCACATGCACTGAATTGCGTCATTCGTTTGGTTTTCAGTATGTGATATCTCAAGAACTGCAGCGAAGTACTTGATACTCGCATCAACAAGATCTTTCATATACTTCTTTCGCTTATTCGTAACACTGGCGTGATCATTACGTAATTTTGATGCAACTTGATTACATTGTCTACTCAACGCTCGAATATCTTGATTTTCCTTACATTTATGTACATCAGTAGCCTGTGGATCCGTCGTCACTGGTAATGAAATCAAATCAAGGCTTGAAGCAAAAGACAAAGCTGTCATTTTATTCTGCCATGTTTTGATCTTTTTTCGTCTTTCAATTTGAATTGTACTCTCTTTAAATCCATTATTTCGATTGTCCATTTCATCCAGCAATTGTGCTAACACGGGATCATCTCGTGGTTCATAATTGTGAAATTTTTTCTTTTCAAAAATACTATTGAGAAAACTTGACAAATCTTTGTGCATTCCAACAGTATAATTTGATTTGCAAGTTGCACGAATGTTGCGTAGATCGACTGTCAATTGCTTCCGGACGCTTTCTGTGTCGTCTAGTAGAATCTTCTTCCGTGCTGATCCGGACAAATCAACCGCCGCCTTCCGCTTCTTTGATCTCTTTGATGTAGTAACGACTACAACATCTGAGTCATCAGATAGACATTCGTACTCACTTGTCGTTGTGGATGCAGAGTCTGTTGGTGTTGCTTTTGGTTCTACTTGAGCAACTACAGACGTGACTTTTGGTAATTGTTGTATACTTGATGTCGATGCTGCGCTCATATTATGATGCAAAAGTCGAAGCAATGGACCAATCTTGTTACAAGATTCTCCCAATTGACGGAAGGACGCTTGAACTTGGTCTGATGCGTTCAAAATGAGTGACTTATGGACATTCCGAGACGCCTGTACTACTTTAAGCGTTCGTTCCAGCGCAAGTACCACATCTTTGACCTGTTTATCAGTCTGTAAAAGCTCATCGAGCACTGCAGCGACGCAATGCTGTCGTAACTCCGCATCCCCAACACGCGACAGAATTGCGTCCATCCGTCACAAATTTGTAGCTTGTATTAATAAAACTTATTGCATTATTGCAATAGTGTTGGCAATATATTGTTACGTTTTAATATTCTCCTAAAGAGGTGGTTTATAATTGTGAAAGTTTTCTACCATGCCACCAACGTCGTACCCACTGGGCATTTCATTCCCACCTCACGATATACACGCCATCTCTGTATCCATGCCAAAGTGGGAGCATGTGATAGGCTACGAAGAAGGAGATTCGAAGATTTTAAATGTCATGGTCTGTGGTTATCCACGTTTCTTTCGTCATCCAGCAGTTGTGGCACTCGAGACTGCAACTCAAACTCATTTGTTTCCCAATGATGATATTAACAAATGGGAGGTCATGATTGTGCCAACTTTTGACGTAGCCAAGCGTTTACAATCGTTTCTAGTCATGAGCAATTCTGATTCGACCAAACCTGACGAAGTGACTATTCATACATTCAAGAATATCATTTACGCTGTGCGCTACAGACATCATGTAAAATCAACTGCAAAAGCCTATTGGCAACATACGGGTGAAATCATTTCATCACGTCATGCAACTCATTTGATGCAATTATTTCAAAACAATCAAGAATTCCAACCTCAAGCTATTCGTGACTCGAAGCATCATTTGAGACTCCAACAACGTATTGCAGAACTTTATCTTTCGTTAAATGATCCAAAGAAAGTTGCTTTGTATGCTACTGGAATGAGTGCAATCTTTGCAAGTGTAAGATTATTACAAACATTGAAAGGAAGGAATGTGAAAAGTGTTTTGATTGGATTTCCGTATGTTGATACACTCAAGATCTTGTCTCGAAACGAATGGTGTCCACAAGGAGTTTATTTCTTTCCAACATGTGGAGAACATGAGATGAAAGAAATTGAAAAGATTTTGAAAAATGAAAAGATTCTTGGCATTTGGACGGAATTCCCTAGTAATCCTTTACTATCGATGGCAGATCTTAAACAACTTGCTCAACATGCACATGAAAATGGTACTTTATTGGTTGTTGACGATACAATTGGATCGTATAATATAAATCCGATGAAACACGAGTGTGCAGACGTAGTAGTTACTAGTCTATCAAAGATTTTCAGTGGGTCAAGCAATGTGATGGGAGGAAGTCTGGTGCTGAATCCTATGAGTTCAATGATTCAAGAACTTGAAACAAATTTGAATGTTCAAAACGACTCGTTTTTATTTGAAGATGATGTTTTGATTTTACTTGAGCAGTCGCAAACTCTTAATCAGCGTTTAGCAAAGACAAATGCTACTACGTTTGAGATTGTAAAGAAAATGGAAAACCATCCATTGGTGAAGGATGTGTTCTATCCGACAAGAGGCGATGTCAAGCATCTATTTGATCCATTTGTAAAAGAATCAGTTGAAAAGGAGAAACCTCATTTTGGACCACTTTTTTCAATTGTTCTGCACGGTGGTTGTGAACCAGCTAAAGCATTTTACGACGCATTGACGTGTGCGAAAGGTCCAAGTCTTGGTACGAATTTCACGTTGGCGTGTCCGTATTCTCTGCTTGCACATTATGTTGAGCTAGACTTGATTGAGTCTTACGGTGTCGATCGAAATCTCATTCGAATTTCAATTGGTCAGGAAGACTGTGAAATACTCTGGGCGAATTTTAAACACGCTTTAGACGTTGCCAGTACCACCGTTTCAACGTCGAATTAGAAAGGCGTCAGATTTGTCGATCATTTGGTGTCCGCTGGCTCATTTACTGCATTCAAAGCAGCAAGATGAGCTACCGGACCATTCGAATAAGTCAATAACTGATCATACACCTTTAAAAACCACTGGTCATCTTTTGAATAGACCTATTGATGCCTGATGTTTTCTTAATTCCACCTTGATGTTTCATTGAATTCTGATCGGACAAGTGACTGTTCTAGCTAAAAAGCAGTTGAAGTTCTATTGAATTCCTCCATCAAACACATCAAAAGAAGAACCAGGTACTGTTCAATGATTCAGACGTTTCGTATCTTTCCTAATCTAAAACTCGCTCATCTTCGTCTTTAAGTGAAGCAACAAATTTAGCGCTTTGTCCGTTTTTCTCTTCAAACGGTCGGATGCCGGTAGTTTCACGGCCTTTTTGTTAGTTCTGTCACTTTTGTTTGAACCTTTGATACATGGGGAAAAGAGGGTTATCATCAAATTCGTGTGGAAACCAGCATGAAAGTCCGTGGGCACCTGAAGAACATCAACGTTTTGTTTTAGCTCTTGAACAATTTGGAGGAGGACAATACACGAGTAATCATCAAGCGTGGCAACAAATTACCACTGCTGTGGGGTCTCGAGACACTTCTCAAGTTATGCAACATGCTCGACATTATTTCGCTCATCTTCAACACTTAAATTCTCAAAAACAATGTTCGTTTGAAAATACCAATTCAATCTGGTCATCAGATGAAGATGCAGCGTTTGAAAAGATGCTCGCAACTTATAGTTCGTCTTCTGTTTGTTATCCATGGGACGTTATGGCGTCTCATTTTGATGGTAAAAGTGCCGCAGATCTAAAAGAACGATATCAAAAACTTTGTCATGATATTGCTCGAATTGAAAATGCTCCTCAGACATTTAGATTTGATTGTCATGGACGACGTGACTTTTCTAGAACAAATCTAATGATTGAAAAACGAGACCAATTGATGTCTGATTTGATGTCTCCACGTGTTCTTGATAGCGTTATTTCTCTCACACCTATTGAAGAGGAAATTTTGATTGAAGCGATGACTGATGTCTTTGTACCACCTCAAGCGCCCGCAGAGTTATTGGCTGGTATAGCATCAGCTGTTGCTGCATTTACGAACTCAAGTGGACGTGTACCACCCCAACGAACTCATTCAATCTTTACGAAAGAACAAGCTTTGAAAGTGTTAAATCGACTGCTAGCTGCTCAAGAAACGGATCCTCAGATTGTATTGGAAACATTGGCTTATGACCTTCGATTGCATCCACAATCGTTGAATGTTTCAGCAGGTGTATCTTTTAGCAGCAATTCAAACGATTGTTCACCTTCTACTTCGACATTTGAAACATTGACATCAACAGAGAATCCTATGTCTTCTAAAGAAACGATTCCATTTCATCCTTCATCTTCACCATCTTCTAATCAATTGAAACAAGACAGAAGTACTGATGGAAAAGAATCAAACAAGGAATAATTTAATAGAATCAAACATCTCATTGTACAAAGAGTAGATTACATGAAATTTAACATGAAATGTTTGACTCTTGAAATGATCAAAATCTGTCAAAACGAGTACACAAGAAATTTATTGTGCTCATAAATAATCTCGGTATCCTGCCTTATCACTTTCTGTCGTTCTTGCGTCATGTACGCACGTACATGCAGCAAAAGCTTTCAACAATGACAAAAAATGTTCAAGCGTTAATATTCAAGTCACATACTGCACGACTGCAGCATTTGTCACATGAACTGCAGTACTATCATCAAATTGCTATGACACATCGCGTCCAACTGTTGCCCAATATATTGGTACTCACGCCAATTTCGACATTAGCATCATTAAGACTAAATACAAACAGGAGTACAGAATTAATTTGTGCATCAATTGCTGCGCTGCTAGATCACAATGGCCGTATGAAGCTTTTGAAAAGCGATCATGCGTCTTAAACGTCTGCTTTCGCGTCACACTCAACTCAATAGGTGCCGTAGTTGCTCCTGCCGCTACAATACGCAAAGTAAAGTATTAACTTTACCACTTGATCGTTGGGATATGTACGAGAGTGTAGCAACAACATTCTTTGCAACAAACTTGGAACGAGTCTCTTCATTGCACGATACATCATACACTGTACGACCACATGATAAGAGATACCAATTCCAAATGTTTCGTCTTACACATTAAATGCATAAGTAAGTACCAGCAACCCTTTAAGTACTATTCGAAGACAATTCTTCGGCTCTTGAATAATGTACGAGTAACTCAACATATTATTGTTACTAACCTTCGAAGCATGTGCAAGCGCACGTAATGAATCCATGCAGCCTTTTGTTACCAATTCACGTCCATGTGAAAGATTCATTTAGTGTGTTGTCGTATCTCCATCTGAGCATAATTGGAGATACAAGAGAAGAAATTTGAGTGTGCTTGTTATTGCCGTTAAATGTTTTCTTGTTGTAACAATGACTTCGAGTTGGACTGTACGAAGTAAAAGTTAGGATATATAAAGAGGTTGATGGTAGCTTCTCTTGGGCTGGTCTCAAGCATTCTGTGTAACGTTGACTTGATCCTAGTTATATTTCTCTTGATTTGGAGAGTTAGAAAGCCACTTGATGTACGCTGAGCTTCTTTATTTCTGCAACGGGGTTGCCGTGCATTTTGCCGAAGCTAACGGACTAAACGCTCGTAGACATAACTAGTGTTTATCGTATATATGTACGCAAAGGGACAGCGTAAGTAAAATGAGACGCTCTTGATAGGAGCGTTCGAACCAACTTCGATGCGTACGTCAAGTCGAACTCTTTTCGCGGTGACGTTCGCGGCACCCCGTTGCACTTGTTAGCAATTGAAGTCACTCCCACGACGGTGTCGTGGACCGACTATTTTTTTCGCGACGAGAAAACATGAGATGTTTGAATATCGGTCTCAGGACAAACAGAGCAGCTTCAAAGGCTTTTGCGTACCCTGGGTCTCGATCAGATCAGGGATTAGCAGTTAAAGAGCCAAAAGCGGTACTCGCTCGCTTAAAGGTGTTCTCCAGCTTTGCAAACGCGCTAGCGAGGTACGTCCAGGGGTACCTATACCAGATACTAAAGGTAAAACAGAATGTTACCACCGCTGGAAAAGTAATGTTGAGCGTTCAGGATTTAAGGGCTGGTGTGGTGAGAATTTCCCTCTGGGAGAAGAGAATTGAGATGGCCATAAACTCGGTCTTGTATCAAACAAAACCATACCGCGTCTTCAAGCTAAACGATCGCACGCAAGACTCGAAACTTATGAGCAATTTGTCAAAGAAGAAATGTTTTTAGTGTGGGAAGATGCGTAGCAAGTGTTCGCACGGCCTAAACAGGCGTATCAAGTTCATGTCAGGTGGGACGATGACTGGCGGACTATGTCTAGAAGCTTAAAATCGTAATTGCCGCAATGGCATCTGGCTCTCCACCTGGAGCCGCGACAGTACCATCGCATGGGAGATCTCCGATCTGGTGAGTCTTGCACCGAAAGCATCCGCTTCATCCTACCTCTTTCACAAAAAAGGTGAGCGTCACATTCAACGCAATGTACACATTCCGTGCAAAGAGGATTAAGTGGGATGCTGAGAATGTAAGTTTTACGAAGGCGCCGGTTGCGATGGGCCTCAGCCTTGCTAAGGATGAAGGGAGGAATTTGCTCGCGGCGAAGTAATTTCGCGGTGCTCGCAGATGTTTCATTTGGGGTGGTGCAAAAGATTTGCACCATTTGTGCTCCTCTTACTCTCGGCTGAAGGTGCTAAGGGCTGGTCTTTTACACAAGGGCATACAACGGACTACTCTCAGAAATTTTTAAGTTTCAGTAGATACACGGCGGCCTTACTAGGAAAATTACGTAGTTTTGTAGTTCATGGGTGTCGTGGGCAGTGGAAGCTAGCTCTGAACAAAGCAAACATTTTTAAGATTTTAGCCTTGCAATCTTGACTACTGATTATCAAGGTCATGGCTGTTGTGAAGCCGTGCAAAGTCCGGATCGAATCGGACGACGCATAACTTGTGAAACTGTAGACAGAACACGGAGGCTTGAAGTTGACAAATGCTGATGTGTGCTCGCGGTGGAGACACAGAAAAGTCTTGAAGGTTCTCGTGAGCATTTAATAGTTTGAGAGCGTGGAACAATGTCTAGTATTTAATTTAGATTTGATACACGATTTCATTCGAGTAATGGGGTGGTTGGAATACCACAAGCCGTGCGTCGAATGGATTTTAAATAGTTAAATGCCATCTGCCTCTCTCTGGTTGGGGACTAACGAGTCATGAATTCACCTCTAGAAGTGCTCTTTCTCTGAATTCGAGGAACACACGTTTAACAGCAATTTTGTTAATTCGGAGCAGAAGT